TAAAACTACATCCTCCTGATGATTAAGACTCTAGAATAAGACTTGGAATAAGGTGTTGCTTTAAAGGAGAAAAAAAAAAAAGTAAAAGATCAAGGCCATGGGTGACATGGGTGACTTTTCTCCTCACCTGTCCCTAACAACACTTGCTCCTTTGTCTTCATGCTGTGCTGGATATTTAGAAGCCCCCACTTTAGTGCTCCCCCTCCCCCAGAAGTCCTTTATACCCATGGGAGAGTTATTTGAGGACAAATAAAGGTTTTGGCACTCTTTCTGACATCATACCATCTAGGCCACAAACTGTCCACCCCCTCTCAGTGTGACAAGTTCTCCCCGCATTGTTTTCTGGCTGTGTTTCTCCACCTCTTTGTGTAATTTAGGAAGTAGCATCTTCAGAACATTATAAAACACCCCTTAAGTAACTCGGAGGTACTCTTTTGCAAGGCCCTGCCTCACTCATGTGAGTATTCTTTTAAAATACTGCCTCTGGATTCGAGGTCTTTAATTTGAAACTTTTATAGCTGCTTCAGCACTTCCTTCCCAGAGAGAGACTGTGGCCTTGCTCCAAACAACACTACATGTCTTCCTCTAAGTATCTGGGTTTGTTTTGGTTTCCTGCAACCCAGCTGGCACTCTCTGAACTGCTGGAGTCAAAGCCCGCTGGGAGGAAAGCGGGAATGGGCCTCTGCGGCACCATACACAGGGCCGAGGAGCTTGGAAACCACTTGGAGGAGCAGCTGGGTGAAGAGGCAGGCCTCCCTGGGATTCCGGGCCCCACCCTACCAGGACACAAATGACACTGGAAGCCTGTGCTTATAGTTTCTCAAGGGCCTGGCACTTAGCTGTTGTCCCAGTGACTCACAGGATAACTTTTCAGCCTTCAAAGTGGGTCAACAAGCTTTATTTGTCCAGAGAGCTCCCCTGGGAGGTCACTCAAAGAAAAGCAGGCTGAATGGGGATGTTTGGCCAGGTGATTCTTTTTGCTGCCTCTTAGCCTGAGGAAATATTCCCAGTATGCAGGCCAAGAATTTGGAGAATTAAAAGCTGCTAAGTATTTGGGCTGGATCAACATATACCAGAGTTATTAGTTAAGAGTTAACCATACTGCTAATGGTGACTCTCGCCATTCAAGAACCAAACAGATGCCTTAGGAAGGCCCTAAATCAGGATGTCTACTTCTCATAGATAAGACAGACAGCAAGCTAAGGCGGGGAGGGTACAGCTCAATGGTAAAGTGTGTGCTTTGCACCCATGAGGCTCTGGGTTCAATCCCCAGTACCTCCATTAAAAATAAATAAATAAACCTAATTACCACCCCCCAAAAGAAGCCATAGAGAAAGATAGCAAGCTTGTGCTATGAATCATAGACGCTTCCATTAATTCTGTGTGACCTGCTCAATTTCTTTATTTATTAAGCAGTGGAGTCATCCTGGGGCAGCATTTCTCAAATCTGAGAAACCACAAGCCCCAAGAACACATCTGAAGACTAACCAATCTGAATTTTTATAACCCAGAATTAAAAGTTTCTCATAGCAGCATTGTTTCACAATGGCCAGAAAGTGGAAACAAACCAAATGTCCATCAGCTGATGAATGGATAAACCTGGGACACAGTGGGAAAATATTCAGCTGTAAAAAAGAAATGAAGGGCTGTTATGTGCTACAATATGGACCAGCCTAGGAAATATGCTAAATGAAAGAAACCAGACTCAAGAGCCACATATCGTATGATTTCATTTATACAAAATGTCCAGAATAGGCAAATCCAAAGAGAGAGAAAGTAGATTAGTGGTTGCCAAGGGTTGGGGAGGAGAGGGTATGAGGGAGGAAGAAATTTTCCTCTACCCTTCCGGGTTCTTCTGGCTGGTCTAAGAATTAAATTGACATAAGACAGATTAACAGGAGAAAATCAAAGTTTAATAACATGTACACATAGGAGAGACCCAGGAGAACTGAGTAACCCACTAAAACGGCCCCAACTTAAATACCATCCACAGCTAAAGACAAAAGACACTGAGAGTGGGGAGAGTCACCAGGAAAAGCACAGCAAACAAAGGCGGCTGTGATGCAGATTTAAACTGCTACCTTCTCCACTGAAGTTTCTAGAGATTTGGTCATCCTTTTCTTCTGGATACAAGAGGGAGATCTCCCTTACAAATGTAAATGTTTCTCACAAAAGGGCAACTCCTACTAGATCTTCAGAGCTCTTCCCTATCTGCTGTTTCTCAGAAAATAACCAGCTTAAAACAATTAAGATACCAAAGAGACAGATTTTAGAGTGGCAAACTTTGCTCCCCTACAGGAAGAATAGGTAATGACTGCCACTGGGCATGGGGATTTTTTTAGGGGTAATGAAAACGTTGTGGAATTATCTAGTGGTGATGGCTGTGAATCATCAATCTTGTGAATATACTAAAAAACCACTGAATCGTACGCTTTAAAAAGATGGATTTTAGGGTAGGTGAATTATATCTCAATTTTTTTAAGTTACATATTATTTTAGTTGATTACTGGGTACCAAGATAAACACTTTGTGGGGCACAGTAATTCCTTGTGTCCAGATTTACCTATGAGGTGGCTAGCCAGGTGATCTAAAAGGCATTTATGTCAACTTCAGATGATCACAGAAGGGTATCTAAAATTTTAAATATTCATAGGTAACTTCTAGGCCGCAAGAACTCATCAGTGGAACTCCTAAAAGTCTTTGAACCCTGCTTTCAGAAACACTGGCCCAGGTACCCTCCCAGGACTTTTTACCCTTTTGCAAGCTACAATGATGAGGATTTTTAATAAGTTGCTTTCCAAAGACAAAGGCTGGCCAGGAACAGCATAGGATTTATAGGTCCTTTGGCTAAGTCTTGGTGACGTAAACAAATTACTCCACCTATACTCCAGGTAATGGATTAAATATGTGCTCTGTAAAATTGGAAATGCATAAACCCTATCATGAGATGAAAAGGAGTTTCACGCCAGTTAATCTAACATGGAAAATCCTCTAAGGAAGGTATCCCGCTTGGGGCCTCACTTGGGTCATGGGTTGATCACCCCTAATTTAAACACTATGACCTTCTAAAAGTGGCCCCAGCAGTGGAATAAAGAAAGACGCTGCTAACTGAAGTCAGACGGGAAAGCCAATGGGAGGTTAAGTAAGCAAGGGGGCTTTCCCACGCGGTCAGTTTAGGAGTACAGGATGTGGCTCACAGCTGGCTCTTTTGTTTATTTAGTTGGAAGGCAACTGTCTCTACTCTTTGATCTTTTGTTTCCTCACCTGCCACAAAGAAAAAAAATCAGAAACTATTGTTGGGCTAACTGACATCCTTCGAAGTCCAATGACCCCCATTTCTGGGGTCTCAGATAAAGTACATTCTTTATTGGGCGTGTTTCCCCAACAAACTAATAGCCTCAGGTAATGCCTTACCTTATCAGAGTCAAACCCCAACGCCCTTCACAGACCCTAACCCTCTTACCTCACCTACAACCAATCAGAGACTCCTGTATAAGCCGATCAGGCACCTTGTGACCTGACCTTATAAAACACCCCAACAACAGGCCCTCAGTGCTCACACAGGCACCTCTGGTCTGTGTGGCTCACTGTTGTCTATGGCAGTGTACCCCTAATAAACTCCTTTTCTATTCTCTGGTAAATTATTTCACCAACCTGCATGCTACTGGCTCACTGACTGGCCGCCCCATTGTGCACATAACTATCCCGTCTCTTGGGGTGGTTGTTCAGATGAGTTCAGTTCATCAGACTTTTACTGAGCATCTGATTTTTATGTATTAGACACTGAGCTAGTGCTGGGAGGAAACTGGAGTAGCCCCCACCTTCGGGAGCCCACAGTAGGAGGAGACTACTGTACCGAGTGTTATGGAAAGAAACTTTATGTTTAAAGGACTCTGAAAAATACTCAGTGCTAAAAAGCACGTGGTAATAATGTATGTTGATTATCCAATATGAGTCAAAAGTTGGTCTGATTCCTGGCTCTGGGTATTTCTCTAATAAGACTACTTTTTGTAGAAGTAAGCATTGAATATCACTTACCTGGGTATTGACTGAACTCACCATTTTCCATAAAGATGTTTTCATGTTGTGCCCACTAGGTGTCTCAATATTTTGCAAGAAAATAGAAAAGCAATGTTTCCACCTGTGTGATGAGTCAGCTGTAGTATAAACATCACTTGGCTAAAATCTCAACCACTTTCTAGCAACCATTGTGTAGATTGCCAGTAAGTATAGTTGCCTTTCATTTGAGACGGGACGAAGATGCCTTTGTGGATTTTTTCTTTCTTCTCGTAATCCATGTACCTGCAAACTGCTCTCCTAAGAAAGCCAGGACTAGGAAGATCAAGTGGAAATTCTTCTACCAAGTGAGTACCAACACCCTACAGGCAGCAGCACTGCGTCCCCACTGGTTTCCTGGCCTAGTGTTTGGCTGTCATCTGCATATAAGCTGACATCCCAAACTACACCTTACTGTCTTGTGTCCCTGGGAAGAATGCGTTCTTCCCTATTCACAGGTGTCAGTCAAAGGAGTCATTTTCCCAATACAATCCAGGGTCTCTTGCATTGTGAATTTCAGGGTTGTAAATGACACACAACTGCTTACCCCAATATTTTCACCCTTGTCATACATGACTTTAGATGGCCTATGGCAGAACACTTTGCCTATGAGTGACATCCAAAAGGGGGGTAACCGTTACCAGGAGACTGGATGTCTTCAAAAATCTATTGCAACTTCAAAAGCTCATCTCAGGGGGGCGGTAGAGCACATGCTTGCATGCCCAAGGTCCTGGATTCAATCCCCAGTACCTCCATTAAAGAAAAAAAAATAGAATAAAATTATTATTTTTTAAAAAGCTCATCTCATCAGGCTTTAGCATGCTACTAATGGAAGTACAAATGGATATAAACTTTCTGCAATGCAATTTGGCAACGTCTATCAAGAGCATATTTTAAAAGTGTGTGTCTGTCAGGATCCCAGAAGGACAGGGATTTTTACCCAGGATGGTTCAAATGAAGAGACTTTAATAATACTTACAGATGGGTAGACCAGGTCATGGAAGTAAACAAGGGATGCTGAGGCACCCAGAGAATAGTATTCCTAGAGACAAAGGGACAAAGGGAGGAAATAATAATCTTATGGAATTCAGGAAGAGCAGAAATGGTGGAGGAGGAGGGGGGAGTAGAGAGGGTGGGGGAGGCTGGGCTGGAGGTGGGGAGCGGCATGCAGCCTCTGTCTTCAAGCAGGAAGAGAAAGAGGAGGAGACACTCGACTTCTCTCTCTTCTTGCCTCTTGATCGCTTCCTGGTGCCACCAACTGACTGAATCTCAAGGAAGCCAAAGGACTAGAGATCCTGGATATGCAATCTATGAAGACAAAGAGCAGGATGAAGAAAGACAGAGAAGGGGTGAGAATAGGAATGGAAAATAACCAGCACAATCTTGTAATTCCATTTCCAGGGATATATCCTAGGGACATAATCAAAGATGGGAGCAAAGAATCTTATGGAAGGATGTTCTTCATAGTTAGGTATAAAAGTGAAAAAACAAAAGAAAACAAGCTAAATATCCTATAATAAGAGACTAGATAGATAAATTGCAGTGTATCCACACTTTAGAATAGATTGTGTCATTATAAACATTTTTGAAGAATCTGTGATGATACGCAGAAATGCATACAATAAAATGTTAACTGAGAAAAAAGAACATAACACTGTATGCATAGTATTAACTCAATTTCATGAACACCTATATGCAAAGGGAAAGCACCTACGAATCTTAACAGTATTTCTTTTTGATGATGGGGCTATCTTGTAACTTTTGCTTCACAACTTCCAATATTTTCTTTTTTCCTTTTCACAATAAGCATATAGTACTTCTGTGATCACAGAAAAAGTCAGTGCCAAAAAAGACAGTTGATCTCACTGAAATGTACTCTGTTCCATGTAAAATATTAATAAGGAACACAACAATTGTTTAAGTAAATTGAAACCAGGGATTTCACGAAGGGTGAACCTCAATCTGTGCCTATTTGATATCCGGACAAAAGTGAAAGAAAAATCATCAATTTCTACATGATATCAAATATCCACATATATTAGATGACTTTGATTTTTAACTGCATTTTCACCCTTCACTTCAATGACAGGCATCCTATTAATTCAGCTCTACTTGGACTCATTCTTATCTTGCAACTCTGGAAAATCTTAAGACATTTCTATAACCTAAAATCTGTTCTAAGATTGAAATAATTATGTTCCCAATTTTAAATTTTATAGTTTAGTCTTCAGTATCATTTTAAACTATATATATTATCAAGTATCAAGCCATACACAAATATATTCTTGTTTTAAAGATTCAAATGATACCAAAGTTTCCCTTGGCCACCTGCTCGTACTTGGTCTCCTTCCCCTAGGTAACCTGTTTTCAGTTTATCATGTAACTCTCAAGACATTTGCTTATTATTTACATGCATATAGAATATATAGTTTTATTTTCATTTTCTAAGTAAATGATGTTCTGTTGTACATGCTTTTCTGCAACTCACTTTTTTCTCATGTTGAAGCTCCACTTCATTCTATTACAGTGCTTACATAGTTTTCTGTGGTTTGGATATTCCAGTGTATCTGGCCACGCCTCCAGTTGCTGGTTATTTGGTTTGTTTTTAGTTATCTGCTATTTCAGACAACACTGTAGTGAAACCCTTGTACATGTCTCTATGTGTATATATGTGAGCATTATTTCTCTAAGGGAGCTAATGAAAAACGGTATTTCTGGTTTGAAAGGTAAGTGCACTTAAATTTTTACTTGGTACTATCTAGCAGCCTCCCATAAAGGTTTTTCGATGTATACTTCCAATAAAAAGATGCCAAGCCTCACTACTAATAAGGACAATGCAAATTTAAATAAAGGACCTGATTTTTTTTACCATTTTGGGTTCACAAATTTAAAAGGATTGACAGTGCAAAGCGTGGAGAAGGATAAAGATGCGTTCCCTCACACAAACATCTTTTTACAACCAGCATCTACACATTAGGTAAGCTTCCTTGGAGATTTATTAAAAGTGGGGATAAAGCTCAGTGGTAGAGTGCATGCTTAGCGTGTACAAGGTCCTGGGCTTAATCCCAAGCACCTCCACTGAAAAAAAAAAAAAGTAATTATGTTAGACTTTTGCGATAAATAAACAAAGGACATTTCTGTTACAGGATCATTGATTTTTATATATCCTAATAGTAGCCCTGCTGTGACATATTCACCCAGAGCATTTTCATCAGGTGTTATTGTTCTGTAATCACTAATTCCTTAACTTACTAAGCAGATAAGAATTTCTCCACTTTAATAATCACATTTTGGCTTATAATTTATACAGTATTTTCACTTTCTCATAAGTTACTTCAATTGATTTCTGCCTCAGTGATAATGTGAGGTGCTATTTCAATGAGGAAATTGAGGCTCAGAGAAGTTGAATGATTTTCCAAGGTCACAGTTATAAGGGGGGTGGGCTCAAGTCTGCTGACTCCCAATTCCATTAGCTTTGTACCTTCTCAATTGCTTTAAAAACCAAGTACAGCTGAAGTCTCTCCTGCCTCTTTCTTGGCATTCAAGTCATCCAAAAGGAGCCACAGGGGGCAGCCTGGTGCAGCGGAAGATTTGATAGGCTGGAAACTGAGAACTGGCTTTTGGTCTGTGCTACTCCCAGCTCTGTGACCTTAGGCAAGTCATTTAGTCTCTCTGGGCCTCAGTTGCCCCTTTTGAAAAACTGACATGATGCTCACTTACTAGCATTGAAAGAAGACATGATGCTGCGCAGTTTCTCCCAGTTATGAGATTTTACTTAAGTCAGACTTAGACTAGTTTTCCTTCTCTGCTCACATATTTTATGAAACACCATTTTTCTGCAATGGATTTATTCTTTGCAAACATGAACCCACAAAGGAAAAATTTACCACACAATGCTTTCTTTGATTAAAGTCTAAAAATGTTCCCTTATCTTTTTTCTTTCTTTCTTTTGAAAAAACATATTATTAGTAAACCTCTTGCCAAAGGCTAGGGAAATCCCCAGGGAACAAGAGCAAATGGTTTCTGGTAGCTGGCTGAGTCTGAAAAGATGTTTTCTGCCTGGATCTCTTACTACTTGGCACGACTCCAATTCCACCTACATTTTTTATTGCCTATTATTACAGATTTTTAAAGCGACTTATTTTCCCAATCTACTTCCAATAGTGGGAAAGCTTTAACCCGAGTTGTTCTTTATAGTTTCAAATTCCATAAGCCAAAGATTTTAAGAGCTGGAAGGAGTCTTAAGAGATCACTCGAACTTGTCCTCTATCTTTGAACAGATAAAATATTTTTCCATTTAACAGAGGAAGCATCCAATGCCCAGAAAGCCTGTGACTTATTCAAGGTTTCACAGCTAACAAGTTTTCTCGTACAGTACTTATTCCATTCTTAGCGCATGACAATTTATTGGTGATCCTGGCTCTTCCAGAAAAATCACAATGAAGTCAAAAGGAGTAAACCATATGCTCATTGGTTGTTTTCACTTCATCACACACCACAAATTCTTCTATTTCTAACCATATTTTGATGCATTATTTATGAGGGCCATCTGATCACAGGTTTGCCGAGGAAACTCTGGAATTTTAAAAGTGTGCCTCTTCTTCCAGGAAACACATTTATAGCTTGGATTTATCCTTACCCTGCTCATTGGTGATTCATGAGGTAATCAGATTTGTTAACTGCATTCTTTAAAAAAAAAAAAGAGGTATAACCTACCTACAATAAAGTGCACAAATTTTACATATAAATGAAAAACATTCCTACATGTACATATAACATAGAAAATTACCAGCACCTCTGAACAACCCTTATGCCCTGTACCAGTCACCACTCTCCAAGGGTAACCACTATTTTAATTTCTATCACCACAAATTAGTTTTGAAGTTTGAAAAATTCTAGGTTTGAATTTCACGGACTCATACAGTACGGACTGTCTTGTGTCTGCTCTCTCTCATTCAACATTATGGCTGTCGGACTGTTAACTACATTCTAAAACTGCAGTTACTTTCTGGCTTAGTTCCTGAGGGAATCTCTCAAAATTAGGAACTTAATATACCAGCTGTATACAGGTATATATAAATTTTAAAAAGAGCAGTAGAGAAAAGAACTTTTTAAAATGACTATACTGCTCATGTCACTTTCTTTTTTTTTTTTGGTGAATACTATTTTATTTAGTCATTTTTGTTTACAACTCAAACTCTGGAAATTCAAAATTAACATCCTTGCCCGTGAGCTTCTTATAGACACCAGAAAACGTTTCAACCTTGTGCTCCACGTTGTTCTGCTGCGCTTTGTCCAAGTGCACCTTTATGAGCCGGCCGCCGTCCAGCTTCTCGCGGATCCTCTTGCCCACGATCTCACTCGGGAAGCCCAGGTCCTCCAGGACGGCGGCGTGCACGGCCGTCAGCGTGCGGCTCCTGGGACACGCTTCTGCTTATTTTTGGTTCGGCTTTTTCGAGTTGGCTTAGGCAGAGTTCTCCTGTGAGCGATGAACACGACGTGCTTCCCGCTGAACTCTTTCTCCAACTCGCGCACCAGCCGGACCTGGATTTTCTGGAAAGATTTCAGTTGAGGGACCGGGATGAAGATTATAATAGTTTTCCGACCACCGCCAACTTCAAATTCCTTGGCCGCCGTGATGTTCAGTTCCCGCAGCTGCGCCTTGTGGTCCGAGCTCATCTCCAGCTCCAGGAGGGCCTGGGAGATGTCGGACTCTAATTCGTCTGGCGTCTCTCCATCGGGCTTCACGATCTTCGCGCTGGAGCTGAACATGGCCTCGACCTTTGCGGGGCAGGCAGCACTGGCTGCCTCGGCCGACACTTGTCACTTTCTTACTCTTGCATCATCAATTTCCCTGTTCTTTTAAATGGGTTCTGCTTTTAAACGGGCTCTGATCCATCCAAGTATTCTCTTTCTTCTCCCACTAATGGATAAACAACTTATACGCTTTTCTTTACTTATTTATATCCAGCATTCCCCATCAGTGCTCCAATCATTGGTCTAAAAGCTGGAAATGGCCTCAAGCTATCAACTGACAGACCTCCTTCTTTAGCAAGGAAAGCATTGATATTCCTTATTTTCAGAGTTGACAAATATTAACTGAGCACATATAACCTCCAATGTACTTTTCTAGGTAATATGGGGGGGGGGCTACAAAAATATAGCAGGCATGAGCCCTACCCTCATGAACTTCCATCCTAGCAGAGAAGCAGCATAGTGTAGATATCTACATAAAAGATCACAATGTAAGCCATAAAGTGTTGAATGACACCACTGAGTTAAAAGAGAAAACAACATGTGAGATGAGAGGGAAAGGTAACTTCTAGCTGGGGAAGCTTGGTAAGGGAGTATTTGTCTTAGGTAGATTATTGAGAAGTAGGATGCCATGGCGAGGTAGGTTTAGTCACGCAGTGATGGGGAAAGCATTTTAGATAGAGGACTGTAAGGACAAGGACACTGAACTGGGAAATCATGCAGCATATATAGGGAGCAGCAATGCAGTTTGACCCAAGAGTAGGGGAAGGGATGAAGAAACTGGGGCACAAGGTGGTTGTGGATTATCCAAGGCTATAGCACACAGGGGCCCTAGAATGGGGACTGAATCCCAGGAATCTTCCTTCTTTAATGTTCTTCCCATAATTTGATCCAAGCAACATTTTAGCCACTGCGTGCTTTCCTTACAACTGCCCATTACATATTAGCCATTCACAAATTGATTCAACAAACATCTATTGAATATCTACTCCATAGACTTGTGGACACAAATGGACTTGTGGTCTCCAAGGCTGATTTGTTGTGTTATAAAATAATTTTTTTCCAAATGGGGAGTCAGGCTAATATAATATTGGGCTAAGACAGATTTCCTTTCCCTTTAATTGCTAGAACTTTATTGAGTTATGCTTCAGAGCAAATACTATAAATAACAGAGAGAATTAAATAAACCACAGAAAAAGGATCTCTGCATTATGTTTTTCTACATGACATCAATACACGGTGTCTTAGCATTGACTACACATATGTTTTTTCCATAACTACTTTTACTTACGTTTGAGCAAGGAGTAACACAGGAGGATCTGAAACCTTCCATTCTTGACCGAAAGCTTAAAAACATACCATATAATCTAGTACAAGACTCACTTCCTTTTAGCTTATCAACCACCGAGAGACATTTCCTCTTTGTACTTGTTATGTTTAACGTAACCATGGAGACCCATCACTTGCTATGCAACTGACACACATGATTCTGGGTTAATGTACTCATTTTCTGAGAAATGTTAAAAAAAATTGTGGTCACTATTAAACCTTTGAATCACTTTGGTATTTCAATGTAAATCCAATACACTTATTAGTAAAATTCATGAGGATATGGTTATGTACCAGAGACTATAGATTCTTTATAATTCCATTGAACTGTTCCTAATTAAACCTTTGGTGCCAGAAAAAAAATAAGGTAATTATTATTTGAACAAATTAGGTTATCAGATATTTCTATAAATTGTGGTGTATATAGAGTTTTGAGGCTATGGCAGGCTAGACATTCAGACTGCCCTTCCTATTGGAAATAGTTGAAGTCTGAATTAAAAACAAACAAATTAAAAAAAAACAACTCTAAACCT